TACATGCTTACACGTTTATTTAATGCGCTAAAAAAATAGTTCATAACAAATTTAGAACTGAAGAATTAATTTCCACCGCAAAAATGGGTCATAATAAGTTTTGTTTCATTGTTATATATACGATAATTAATAATTACATATAATATATCAATAATAATATATCATTACAATATAATATATCAAGTTTTACTATAATATCAAATGACTATTGTGAAGAGTCGAGTAAAAACAGCTCTGCACAGAACGTGTTAAACGAATACAGTAAATTCTCTCCAATTCTCCTTCAGATTGTAAAGAAAAATGGACAATTTGGGAAGCAGAGATGCGATTATTCGAGCCTCGCGGCTCAGTTTTATAGCAACTGTGCACAGAGACAATTATGATGAAAAACAGAAAATTTGTCTCGCGATCTCGTGTTTCGAGAGATTTTTAAATGAGAAAGACCGATCTAATGGCCTATAACTTTGGTACCATTTAAAAAAAGAAAAACATTGGAAAAAAGCACATTAAGATCTCAAGAGATTCTTTTCTTAGATTAATATTTTACTCTTCGAATTATATAGTAATTTTCGTTAAAATTAAGAGGTCTGAGTGATCGTTCTGCTTGCTTTCGAATTTGTTCGCAAATGTATAAATCTTTCTGTAACACGTTCATGGAAACTATTAATAGTTTCGGACAGGAACGGCGAATGCTGTCGAAACTTTTCATCATAAAATTAATTCATACCTAGCGGCTGTTCGTTGAAAATGGTTACGGCGTCTCGTTTCCGGTCCCGGAAATACATAGTCGTAAGAATCGAAACAACGTTGCGGCGGCGATCCGCGAAAAAGGTTCTCGCCCGTATCGGTTTCGGTTACAATTTTACAACCTGTTATTACACCGGTTACGGTCTATATTGGTTTTGTAGCGGTTTTATGCCAGTTTTATAACCGCGGCCGGCCCTAAAACGATATCCATCGATTTTGCATTCATTTGATACCATCGTTAAATCAAATCGACCGTGCACTCATTTATTAATTTCCCTTTATTAACTTTCTCGTCGCTCGCGTCTATAGTGATTCGATTATGATTCGTATGAATAATTAATTAATTGGCCATTTATTGGAACACGTGACACGCAGCAGCGGTGCGTGCCGAGAAATTTGCAATGCGTTGATATTTACGTCCGCTTTGCATGGTTCCATCGTAACTCTTCTTACGTGCATAATTTAAAAAAAAAAAGGAACAATCCACGTGAAGTTAACTCGAATTAATGGTGATTATTCGGCGGTTATTTATGCATTTATTACATATTCTGATCTGCGGAATATTTATTATAACGTTCGTAATCATTTGTGTTAGGCATGAATTCTGTAAACGGTGTTTTAATTAATTAGAAATGTTGTTTACAAATGAAGTTGTACTGGTGCAATATCTTTTTCGAGATAATGAAAATACACTGATATAAAGATTTTGACTATAATATAAGATTATAACGATTTTGAAAAAAAAAAATGGAATCACAAGTTCGTCAATTTTACAAATTGTCAGAAAACACAGAATCAAGAGGCTTTTTAATGACTCTGCTATACCTGAACGAAGCATAATAATTCCTTTCTATGTAATAATCTCAGATTAAAAAATCCTGGATTATTTATTTTCAATGTTCGTTCATCATCCACCGAAGATTATTTAATACCTTCAAAAAGTCTCAGATTCATAGCCAAGAATTTATTTATAATATCCAGCAGCAAAACTGCGATTTGTATCATAAAACAACAATTCCATTTGAAATTATTATTATATAGGTCAAATGTTAAAACGTTCTATTAGGTTGTCCCAAAAGTTGTTCTTGCATTGCGAATTTTGTATAATATGTGTATATAATGTCGATTTAATAATGTGTATGTAATAACTGAATTTTGCATTGCGTGCGGAAAATAATGTTAAACAATGGTAAGGCGTACAAAGAACGTGATCATTTTGTTTTTATCAATACACAATTATTCGTTAAAGTTTCGCTTACCAAACTGCGCCTTTTGTTTGATCAAAGAGCAGCTTTCACAGCAATCAGCTAACAACGAAACGCACTTTTGGGGGAACCTAATCAATTTCAATCACAGAACTGCATATGTACACGCATACACACGCACACGCCGATTTATTGATAAAACAACAGAAGAATGATTGTTTTCTGTGTATGTGACGCAGTATTACATGCGGCAGGGTTGCGTGGCCGTGATGTCAACTACGTGGATAGCGAGCGTGGCGATTTTCGGTGCACTCGTGCTTCCAAGAGGTGGTTATTACTTCAACGGTTCCGGTCTACTCGCCTGCGACCCATTCTTCGCCAGAGCATCCCTTAGGTATTGCCTTAGTCAATTTATTACAGAAGCCTTTAATCGGTTACGGCTTTAAAGGGTTATAGGAACATGGCGTCTACTTATCGTTACTGAATAATAAATACACGTCATGTCTTTTCCAATAATGCAGGATATCCCATAATTATGTTAAGACTCGATAAGAGGTGATTCCTGAGGTCATTCGGAGTAACTTTTTCCTTTACAACAATTTTCTCCGAGGCATCGTTTACGAGCTATTAACGAAAAAGCACCGACCAATGAGAGACGAGAGTTCGCCTAGCGCTAGGCGGCCGAGCCAATCAGCGCAACTGGGCTTCGGCCGGTCGTTGGCTCGTCCGCCTAGTGCTAGGCGAGCTCGCCACTCATTGGTCACTGTTTTTCGTTAATAACTCGTAAACGAAGCCGCGGATTGCATTTTCGCTAAGGAAAAAGTTACTGCAAATGACCTGAGGAATCTCTCTTTCCGGATGTTAACATAATTACGGGACATCCTGTATAAACTGTTTTGCCTTTGTAGAAGGTAATACAATTTTAAACCATAACTAGTTAACATTTTCGCACAAATCGCTAACATACTGGAGTTATGATACATCGCAAATGAAAAGTGTATTAAAAAGATGTAAAAAGATGTAAAAAGATGTAAAAAGATGGAGAAGATGTAAAAAGATGTAAAAAGATGTATTAATCTAATTCTAGATGAATAATCCACCGTACTTCATTTACAGCTAGTGTATAAAATAGTAAAATTATGTAAAATTAAATCTTTGCTATAAAATATGATAGAAATATAATGAGTCGTTGATAACAGTTTTCCAAAGATATGAGAACCAATAATATCGACACGGTTTGCTAACAAAGTCGGAGGAAACTCGATTCGCAGTTCAGATGGAATAATAACGTGCATTGGAAAATATGCACATTTTAGAAGCGTGGTAGTTCGTACAAAAGTATACTTATGGATCGAATAGAATATCGCACCTTACGTTTTTCCTTCTCCGAGATGAGTGGCCAATTTAAGTTTCACAGAACGTATATTTTTTCCCCAGAAGTTTCTGAAATACCAAACTAAAATCGGTTGTTCTCAAAGTTTTCAGGTGAAACACGTCAAATTCAATAATTGAACGAGAGGAAATTATTTATCGAGTCTGCGAACATTCTCAACAATATATAATTAGAACATTAAAATCAATACCAAAGTGTACACTAAACTATCCTAGGATATTCTATTTTCAGCACGAAACTATTCTAAAGGGGTGATTTTAGTTTAAGTAAATATTTCAGCTAGAAATAAATATTTTTAATTTACGAACAGACGTTTAATTTTGTTTAATAAAACTTTGCATTTTCCAGCCAATCAGATAATAGAATAACGTCTTCGAATACAATCAGTTCAAAATTTTAAAGATTCAGGCTTTACGCCTAAAAATAAACTGATGGCTTTCTTTAAAAGTGTTCTTTTAATTCTGTGCTGTAGTGTGTGTAATTATTAAATAATTAAAAGAGTGTTAATAGAATATTAGATTTCATTTCCTTCTCACAATTTACTAAAAATAAAATTGCTAAGGATTATTCACAATTTACTGACAATTATCAAGAAAAAAGATATTACAATATTTAATATTTAATATTAAAGATCTAGAAAGAGAGTAATAAACATTCCCTCTTTTAAGGGTTTTTTTCCATTGCAAATCATTTCCTCTTTTAAGGTAAATTCATAAATTTTCTCTTTTAAGAGCAATAAAAATTTCCCTTCTCGAGGAAATAACTTTTCTGAAAAAATATGATGGATCAAAAATGAAGGTTGAAATGATAGTAAAACATTTCGAATCAACTGCTGAATAAATATTTTTAATCCATCGCGTCTGAAGCGACGCGAATTCTTTTGACGTAACGAAGTAAAATTTCACGATATCATAATGTCTGTGTGCAGCGGTATACTTGAAGTCACTAGTACCTATTAATCAAAGCGATGCAGAGACCTTTGAAGTTCCACGGAAAAGAAATTTGTTTCTTCAGCAATTTTATTTCAAACGAAATGTTTCCACCTTAATGAGAGCGAAGGGAACATTCGTAGTAATACATATAAAAGAGAAATGTCACAATTGAATACAATCGGTGAAATCCGACTATTTTAACCTTTATATGCTGTTTTATGCAAACGTCTAAATTTATAAGTGATCTTATAAAAAGCAGAATAAACGAGCATAACAAGCGAAATAAACAATTCCTTTCGTTTATCACAAGTCCCTAGGATTGTTTTCATTATACAAATAACAAGAAACGTACGCAGGATAAATTCTCTTCAATGACTGAAAAATATCTCCTTTCACCCTTTATTGAAATTATTTTTATATGAACAATTTTACGAACAAAGGGTTATGCATTAATATTTTCAGCCTCAGAATTATTCAAATAATTTCACCAACGAAGTAATTTAATTTCACATTTTACGTCGAATTAATGGCTGTTTTGCTTGAATCCAAAATTTGAAGTAGAAAATTATTTTCAAGTTATTTATTCGAATATAGTATTTTGTATGAACTATAACCTTCACGTAACCTTGTCACACGTTATTCGTAAAATAAAAATAATGAAATTATTTATTATTATTTATTTATATTTATTAATTATTTATTATTTTATATTTTAGATAGTTCATTACATGAATCCACTCCTGTTCCTAATAAGCTTTAATAAACGTCAAAGCACTTTCATGTCTCCAATAATCATTGCAAAGTCTGAAATTTGCAATGTAATTCGTATCAATTTTGCTGATAGTACCGGCGTTAATTTCGATCAATTTAAACGGTCTTCCTTTAGTTCACATATATGCTGCCGTCGTAATTACACGAAGATCTGTAGACGGTTTTTTGCTCGTTCGTCTCTTTTTAATAAAAAAAAAACTACACAATTAAAGTCGCTTTTTTTCACGTTCCCAGGATCCTGGCGTGCTGCTGTTTTTACTTTCCTACGACGATGGTGTTGATGTACTGCTACGGTTCAGCCTTCCATGTTAACAAACTGCGCCTCAAAAGGGTGGTTTGCATTAATACCCCGGAAGTCGTTAGGGGAGGCCACATGGAGAGGGTAAGTTTAGTTCCACTTGAAATTCCAATCAACGAATTGAACATAAGAGCAGCAGTTCACCAAATCACCTTTGCACAATTGCTGAAGCTCATTCCGTCCACCATTAATTGCTTGACGCCGCATGAATTTCTGATATAGCGATCGTTAATTGCTCGAACATTACCGCGGCGAACGAATAATTCAAATGTGCGTAATATAACTGAAACTCTTAGCACTCTTAAATTAGAAATTCTCACGTTTCGTTGCGGCGCGTTAACATTCCGGCATTAACTATTTATTTGCTAATTATTTGCGAGGACTAAATCGTGTCAGAAAACTAGAAGTTTTTATTTTTCTTGTACAATTTCTTGTTAAACATTCATATATTTTTAATCATATAAATAAACAAGTTTTATTCAGAGTGGACGATTTCATCTCAGTGTAGGAGATAAATATTTAAAAAATGAAGAACTATAACGACTATAAAAAAATCTCTTTTGCAAAGGACATCACCAACTGATTTATAAAGTAATTTGAAAATATAGAAATGATAACTAATAGTAAAATAGAAATGATAACTAATAGTGAAATAGAAATGATAATTAACAGTAAAATAGAAATCATAACTAACAGTAAAATAGAAATCATAAGAAAAAATAAGAATCCTAATGAAATTTGATTTGTTGGTAGATATCACAATAAAAATGAATAGTCAAAGAACAGAGGTTACTCTGGTCAAAGGTAATTAGTTGAGGATTTCTTAAGAAATAATGTAATAACGATAGCAATTTTATTCGTAAACTATCAAATTGCCTTAATATAGTGCCTATTAACTTTTCACACAATTCTAATTACTATACGTTTTAGATGAAGCCCCGCCATTAACCCCTACCATTTTCTTCGCAGTTACTGCGATTAGAAATTTTTCGATTCCAATAATTTCTTAGAAGGGAAAGAAAATTGATGCTTATCGTGTGCCTAAATTTACTCGAATGCTTAAATATTGATGACCAGAGATTAAAATTTTGTTCCAATTTTAAAAGACAGAATAACATCTATACTCAATAAGAATTAATACTGTTAATATTCATAATATTAATTAATACTATTACTTATTTCCTAGCATCCAATGTGATAAGTCATCCGCGAATTTTGTACATTTCGGCGCCCGTAGATATATAAAATATATGAAACCATGTGCAATACGGTTTTATATGTTGTTTCCCCGTGTTTCATTGCTAAATTGCAAGTTTTTATAAACCTTTGTATAAACCTTTGTTCTTGCGTACACGTTATTGCTCTTACCGCCAGTGTTGCCTTNGCTTATCGTGTGCCTAAATTTACTCGAATGCTTAAATATTGATGACCAGAGATTAAAATTTTGTTCCAATTTTAAAAGACAGAATAACATCTATACTCAATAAGAATTAATACTGTTAATATTCATAATATTAATTAATACTATTACTTATTTCCTAGCATCCAATGTGATAAGTCATCCGCGAATTTTGTACATTTCGGCGCCCGTAGATATATAAAATATATGAAACCATGTGCAATACGGTTTTATATGTTGTTTCCCCGTGTTTCATTGCTAAATTGCAAGTTTTTATAAACCTTTGTATAAACCTTTGTTCTTGCGTACACGTTATTGCTCTTACCGCCAGTGTTGCCTTTCTCGACGTCGTTTAGGGGAGTTGGGTGACAAGAAAAAAGAAGCCCGAGCTCCACAGATCACCGGGAAATATTCACATCGACAGTAAAAATGTCGCACTTCGGCGTGAACAAACGCCGGGGATCATTTGCAAAATAGGTCGAATAGAAACCGGCGCGGCGACGGACGCTTTAATGCGGTGCACGACGAAAATGTAACCGCTGACGGAACAAACTGCAGCAGCCGTGCCTCGGCGGTCCACGGGATTTCAGACTCAACGGAACAAATTACTAGAGATTTCTCTTCGATTCAATAATCTCGAGTGCCGCATATTGCGCGCTTAAAGAAACACGAAACCGTTGTCGACATTTGTTTTCGCGCACCACTTCTGCCGAGATCGCGGAATTTCAGCCCCCGTTTTGTCGATCGACGTCGACGAACTCCGTCCGATGTGTACATTTCATTCACCTGCCGGCTCCGTTTTCGTATCTTTTTTATCGCGGTGCTTCAAACTCGAATAAAAGTTTCGCTTAAAGCTAATGTACCGGATTTACCGGACGGAAAATAAATACCAGAAACAACGAGCGTTAAAAGTTATCGGCACGATCGCTAATTATCAAAGCGCGGACTCGATGAATTTTTTCCACCGAAACGAGAACGTGAAACGCAACGCGATGAAAATGTCCCGAGAACGTTCTTCTTTTTTTTCTAACGGAGAAACTTTCTATCGTTCTTATGCGAACGATGAATGAAATTAATCGTTGCGGAAATTCGCGTACATTTTTATTATATTTTTATTACGAACGGTTCTTAATTGGCTGAGAAATGCAATTTCGATTATTCGTGGATTTGGTTTTATTGTTGCATCGACGTACGATGCGATATCTGTCAAGGTTATTATTATTATTATTATTATTATTATTATTATTATTATTATTATTATTATCAATAACTCTCGTTAATATTCAGCAAAATCAAAATATAATAACCGTTTTAGAAGTGGACTAAACGACTTAGTTCACCGACGTACGATACGATATCTGTCAAGGTTATTCTTATTAAGGAAAAATTATTATTATTATTATTATTATTATTATCAATAACTTCCGTTAATATTCAGACAACATGATAAACTTTTTGGAAGTGAACTAAACGACTTGAATTTTTTTTAGATGATAGAGCGACCAGGCTATAACTAGAGTGATTTGTTTTAATTTTGCTATTGCTTAAAATAACAAAAGAAAACAAAAAGCTCTCGTTTCTCAACTCTTTTTTATCTGAGCCTGCAATGAAAATTTAAAAAAGTGTGTTTTTTGTAGATCTCGGTAAGTTTCACGCATGCTAAAAATGTCACCGAAATCGGTCGATATTGATACGAGCTGCAAACAATTAATCGCAAAAATCACACTTTTGTCTCGATTTTTAACACTTTCGACCAATAAGTGCCGAAATTTGCAGTTTTATAGGCTCGAATAAAAATGTTGAAAAACATGAGTCTTTTATTTTGTTCTATCGTTCCAAGTAATAGCAAAATTATGACACAGTAGTTCAGTCATTGTCTGGTATACTAATTCCTCAATCATTTAAAAAACAAAAATTCAAATCGTTTATTTCGGTTAGTCAAAAAGGTTATCGCGTTTTAAAAATTGTCCGAATATTAAACGGGTGTCACTGTGTAGTTCGTCCAACATTTTCCAGTTAGATCCCATTTTATACGCTATCGCGCATGATCGCGTGCAGCGTAGCTCATCCAGAATAAAAACGTATCGGCTGAAAGCTCGCCGGCACTAAGAGATATATGAATTGAAAATATTTGTCGAGCGTGAAACCACTGCCAAGGTGTGTCGCGCGAAAAGAACTTCCAACACGCAGACGTTAAAAAATACTCTAGATCGATAGCCATCATGAAGAGTCGCGCGTGTTGACCGGACAAATCGAATTAGAAGAAGAATTGTATGTGGAAGAGGACATTTCTCACGGTGGGAACGGCTCTCGTAAAGTAAATTAAATTTACAGAATTTATGGCTCGAAGTTGTTTAATTATAAAAAATCTACCGAGAACGGTAGTAGTAGTAGTAGTCCATTTAAGCGAAAATTATGCGAAGAGGCATTAGTGTCGCGGGTGCTTTAAAATTATTCTGCAATTAGTATTGCGCTAAGTTCGCATGTCGCGCCGCGTTTTACCTGAATTTGGTAGAGCATGTTACAGATTCGAGCGGCGTACAGGATTCGGATGACGTAGAGATTCTCGGATTGTCATGGCACACACGTCGATGGATTACAAATATTAAGTCGTTTGGAAATACCGTAAATTCTCCCGAATTTTCTCTCGTCTCCTCTTTCCAAATTTTCCAGTTTTGTTTACAAGCTGAACTAAAAGTGCTGATTTGAATCTTTAGGGATTTGCACAATAAATGGAACTGTATGTAGATTACCTTTAGGTCCGAAATATTATAATTATAGGGATAGATTAATTCTTCTATTTTAATATTATATTATAACATTTATAATATTATTATAATATTTATTATTTATTATATTATTTAATATTTATATTTATTATTATAATATTTATTCTTTATTATATTACTTAATATATTTATATTTATTATTATAATATTTATAATATTATTATATATATTTAATTATGGATAAAAATGGATCTCGACCGTGAAAATTCAAGGATGAAAATTTGAAAATTGTTTTTTTATTTACTTGCATTACCTTAATTGTTTACCGAGATCTTACGAAAAACTTATGAAAACGTTTTACAGAAATGTTATGGAATGTCCCATATACAGAATGTCCCAAGAATGTCTCGCAATCCGGAAAGAGGTGATTCCTGAGATGATTCGAAGTAACTTTTTCCTTTACAAAAATTTCCTCCGAGGCATCGTTTACGAGTTATTAACGAAAAAGACAGTGACCAATGAGAGGCGTGCTCGGTTGGCGCGAGGCGGCCGAGCCAACGAGCGCACGGAGCCCACTCGGAGCCTCGCCGCCTCGCGCCAGCCGATCTCGTCTCTCATTGGTCGCTGTTTTTCGTTAATAACTCGTAAACGAAGCGGCGGATCGCATTTTCGCTAAGGAAAAAGTTGCTTCAAATGATCTCAGAAACCGTCTGGCACGAACGCGAAATACAAAGGAATTTGAAATATCGCGGGACAAAATCTTCAATGAAAAATTAACACTGTTTCGTGACACTCAATTTGCCAGAAGTCTAATCGATTTCGATCACTGTGTTACGCCTGAACGAAGTTCAACAATTATTTTCTAAATAATTGTTGCAAAAGAAGTTATTACATTATACTGATTCAAATGATTCGTCGGGATACAATTAAAATAACTTTCGACCACAAAAGGACTG